GCCCACATCTGCTAGGGAACAAATCAGAGGCAAAGAAAAGTAACCTAGGGGTGAACCAAGTCAAACGAAATAGCAGCAACTGTGCGCATGGAGGAAGACGTAACAAAGGAGACCACTGGAAAAAAAGAGGTATGAGAAAGGGGCACGCAAGGATGTTACCCCCTCATTCATCCAGCCTAGGACATGAAAGAAACAGTCAGGGAAACCACAAAGAGCTACAAAAACAAGCATTCAACGATGCATAAATAACCTGTGGGCTCTACAACCCCAGAGAAACCAACAGCTTCATGATTAGTCATGCCTCTGATGGGGATCTTGACTTTTCTCAGCCTTCTCCCCCAAGGGGGATTTGAACACATGGTCTTTGCTGCTGGCTCTTTTTCCTAAGTTTCTCCTTTCACCACCAAAGACTACTGTGCTATCTTCTTTCCTAAAGTATGCCCTCATCCTCGCTTCCTGTCCCCAGCCTAATTTGAGTTATGATCTCATCTATCCCCACTCCCCCGGCCCCAGGCCTAGATAAACTCACCTTTGCCTTATATCACCGCTACCTCAAGGACCCAGGTGTCAATAAGTCCTGAGGGTGCTTGTGTCTTTTTTTTTTCCAACCTTGTTTCCCAAACATGTTATGGAAATTAGTATCTTCTTTGCCCCATAATATACTACATTCAACTTGGGCCCTATGGAGACAGTGATTGTACTGGTGTGTTCTACAATTTATTTGTTTCTCTTCCACCCCAAAGAACAACAAAACACTTCTCACCTCATGTATACTTCTTGTTCCCTAGTCTGGCAAGACTTCTTTTCTTCTCACTAACCACCTTCAATTTGCCTTCTTCATTCATTCTCTTTCTTTTTTCCTTTGAGTTTTCTTTTGCCAATGGCTCCTTTTCCATTGTAGGTCTCCTCTAGGAAACCACTTCCTAAAATTCTGGTTCCATTCCTCCAAACATACCTGTTTATTACTATCTTAGGGTCTATATGATTCATAAGATAGTTTTCTCTCCCCTTTCTCTTACTGTCACCTTTCATACTTGTTTTGCCCACTGTCATAAAGTATCTTTTTGGTCTGAACATGTCAATGCATATAAACTTTGTCACCTATTTCTTCCAATCAAGCTCCAGTTCTTTGAATCAGAAAAGAGACTTCTATACTCCATTCTATTTTTCCACTGTTGAATCCTGGATGTTTTTCTGCAACAATGTATCCAAAGCGCCTGTATTACCTGAGCTTCCAGTGGTGCTTCTGAGCAGCTGTAATAAGAAGCAGTGTCCTCCCCCCTGGCTTGAAAGCCTAGAAGACAGAAATAGGAATAAAGTAAGCAGCAGCCTAGCCCCTGAGCCTCTCCAGGGTCGTGAAGAAAGGTAATTTCAAAGCCGGAAAGACATCAAAGCCCAGGAGTCCCTGCCTTGTCTTCTTCCCCAGAGGTGACAGCACATATGTCCAGAGTGCCCAGGCAACTGAATAGAGAAAAAGTCATCTCTTAAGCTCTAATTTGTAGGAAGACATCCCTGGAAAAAATTTTCCATGTGTTGAACTTCATTGTTTTCCTTAATATCATATTCTTCATTTTCTACCTGTACCCATCCCACAAAGGTTAAATTTACTTCGGATCTCAATTTCAGGTAAATGTACAAATAAAAGTGGAAGACTCAACATTGTTCCCATCCGAACAAGGAGAAGCTAGAAAAATCAACTTCACAGATTTCACTTTTATTCAGGGCCGATGAAAACACATGTGGAGGTTATTTAAATGAGAAAAGCAGCACTAGAGGGAAAAGAACAATTATTTATGTTTCTAGGGCAGAAAAAGAGGTCAAGGGGGAGTCACTCAGGGGGAAACCTTATTAACAGATTTTCAGGGTAAAAAATTGGGCTCATGTGTATGTCAACTTTTCTGAGTGACAATTTGGTACCAAGTACTGAATCAGGTGTGACAGAAAGTGAAAACATTGCTTTGGTCCTCACGTAGTTAACAATGGAACAAAATTCACGGTAAACTATCAATATGCGAACATACGCATGCCAGAAACATCAAGCACTGAAGAATGGAGCCTTAATTTCTGAAAACAGAAAGTAGTACTGATTAATACTCTGAGAAACTACCCACTGTCCTGATCAGGTCCTAAAAAACCACTGCAAGCCTCAAACCAAACTGAAAGCAATATTTCTCTCTTAAGATTGGCAAGGTGTGGAACGAGCCCTGATGGCCTAAAGTTCAGCACACGCCAATTCGGTAGCTGGGTTCGGCTCCAGGAGCCATGCTGTGGCAGCAGCTCACATAGAAGAACTAAAAGGACTTACAACTAGAATATACAACTATGTACTAGGGCTTTGAGGAGGGGGAAAAAAGATTGGCAAAGTGTGGATGTACAAAAAAAGGTGAAGAGATGGGAAAATAAGGCGGAAGACAAATTCTTAGTTACATAAACAAATTACACAGCGGGCAGAAGTCTTGCATGCCTTCTCTGCCTGAATTCCAGTACCTGAAAAGCAGTTATCTTTCTCCTTCATTCCCAACAGAAATTGGGGTCACACTTTCAATCCCAGAATGATCCTTGCTCCCTGCACCTAAAACATTAAAGAAAACCTGCTTCTAGGTCACTGAGGGGTTAGCCAAACAGAGGCTAATAAAAGGACTGACAGAGGCAAGAGGTCTGAGGGAATGACAACAAAGAGCCAAGCTTGTGTACTAGGTTCCCACAACACAAAACACATTTGGAAATCTGAAACCTCGGCCTCTGAAGGGGCTCAATGAGGATTTCTCAAGGGGAAGACGCATTGTGACCCCAACCGAACTAAGGAGGAAGGGGGACCATTCGCAGAGCTGCCAACGCTGTCAGCAGAGCCCGGAATCAAGAAGCTAAACACAGCCCGAGACCTGAATTCGCTGAGGGCGAGACGTGCACCTGCCAGAAAGACAGGAGCTTGGAAGAGACTAGAGCTTATGGCTTCCCATGATCCGAAATCCTTGCTCCAACAAGGGTAGGGCTGGAAATTGGGAATTCTGCGTTGAAAGGGTGGGAGTTGACCCTTCAAGCAGAGGGGCAGGGGCGAGGCCCCGCAGGCGATGCTTCCTTGTTTGGGGGCCTCTTCCCGCCCCGAGGACTCGGACACTCCGGCCCGCGGAGACACAGTCGCGGGGACGCCGGGGCCTGAGGCCGCCTTCTGGGCCTGGCCAGAGAGAAGCGCGCGGGGGTCTAGGCGCGGCCACTTTCGCTCCCTCGGTCCGCGGTTCTCGGGCCCCGGTCCGGCGGAGCAACGGGCTCAGGGGGGCCACTTCCTCTGGAGCTCCGAGCCCAGGCCTTCTTGGCCTCCGTGAGGTCGGTCAGCGGCCCCCACTCCCGGCGACACTCACCGGCCCATCTCACGGCGCTCCTCGGGCTCCTCTCGCTCGTCCCGGAGCCGCTGCAACCACGGCCGCCGCCATCCCCGGCCCCGGAGCCGCCCCACACCCAGCGCCCCCAACCGGGCGCCCAGAGATGGCGTCAAGCACGTCCCGCCCCCGGCGCGGGAAAATTGCGTCACAGCCTGGGCCAGAGAGCGACGCCCAACAGTACCCCGGAGGGGAGGGCGCTAGCCAACCGCCCCTCTCGCCCAGCGCTGTCTCCAGTGGCAAAACTAACTCCTCCTTCGAGGCCGGGTCACGGGAAGAGGGTTGGGCCCGGCCCCCTCACCCTGAACCCACAATGACTCCGCAATCTCTCTAGTAAATTCTGGGGGTTCCCAGACAGATCCTTGGGGCGTGGCCATCAGAGACCCTCATTTCCTGGTCTTCCCGGGCCTGACTTGTGAAGCCTCTCCTTGGGAACCTCGGGAACCGGGAGGCAACCCGGGCCCAAGAGATTAAGGACATGCCTGGACATCCAGAGTGGAGATGGGAGCTCTTTAAGAGTTGAGGGGCCTCTGAGGGGCGTGATAATGGACCAGAGCCAGGATCTAGGGGAAGGTGAAGCAAATAGTAGGAGCCTTGAAAGTCTGTGAGGAATGAGAGGAAGGGGCTTGGCAAAGTGGGAAGCAGCTTGGTTTAGTGGGAAGAGAGCTTGACTACTCAATGAAATATTAGGTCACCATTCATTGCCAACTAACTAGTCGACTTCATAGTAATATTAACATCTGATTAACGTAAGTGGAGAAAAAATTAACACCAGATGAATCTGTGCTTTGATTACATCTATGTAAAAAAGTAGTTTTGCATACAAATACAAACTAAACCGAGAAAAATAGGTTTAACTATTGGAGAGACTGGATTCGGAGTGGATTTTTCTCCTTTCCATTTCTGCAAACTTGTCCAATAACAATTCATTTTCTTTTTTTTATTTTTTTTCCTCTTCTCCCCAAAGCCCCCCAGTACACAGCTGTACATTCTAGCTGTGAGTGCCTCTGGCTGTGCTATGTGGGACGCTGCCCAAGCACGGCCCATGAGCGGTGCCATGTCAGGGCCCAGGATGGAAACCAGAGAAACCCTGGTCCACTGAAGCGGGATGCACGAACTTACCCACTGGCCCTGGGGCAGCGCCAATAACAATTGATTTTCATTTGAGTTAGAAAGTATTGGCTGGGCTATGATCCCTACTCTGTGGCTATCTGACCTTAGGAAAGTCATTTTACTACTAGACTTGGGTTCCCACTTCTGCAAAATGAGGAGCTTGAACTAGATGGAGTGGGAGCAAATGTAGATAAGAGAGCTCTTTAAAGATTTTAAGTGAAAAAATAAGTGAACGTGCACAGTGTGATATCATGTATTTAAAGTTAAAAGCCATAAATTACAGTTGCATGTATTTCTGTGTCTGTACAGAAAAGGAGTAGAGGATATGCAACAACGGGTTAACTTTGGCTATCTCCGGAGAAGAAAATGGAATTTGGTCGTGGCCAAAAGAAAGAAAAGGGACTTATTGTTTGAATTTTTTATGAGAATATTTTCTTAGAATATTAAAATGAGTAAGTTAAAAGACTAATAAAGTATATGATCTTTAAGATTCTTCCTAGGGAAGACCATTTTCTTTTCTCACCTGGGTGGGCACAAAGGATCATCAAAATTATTGAACACCACACACACACACCTTGCACCAGTGGGTAAAACATAGTGAAGCTACTGATCTGTTGCCATCTAAATCAGCAGAGGGCTTTGCTTCGTGAATGTTAATATTATTCATAACAGTCATTTTGTCTCTCAGTTTGGCCAAGAAGGAAGTCCCGTGGTTGCTCAGTGATTCCGTTTTAGCACTAACTGGCATTCTGGTTTCTAGTTCATTCCTTAGCTTACTAAACTGGCATTAAAACTGTCAAGATAGAGACCCTTGGACCATCCAGGTGTAGTTAAGGATAGTCAGTTTCTCCCAGATCAAGATACACTCTCAGAGAGCTGGTTTTTCAGACAAAGTGGAAAGAGCAGACACAGGTAGATGCAAGCAAAAAAGTTTTTTGGCTAACAGCCATTAACATAATTATGTGATGCAAAAGCATGTCTGATTAAAAAAACAGGATGTTCTGATTGGTGAAACACAGGTGATTTCCTGGTTTGGTGCTGTAGTCTCAAAAGGGTGGGTCATATCCCTGCTGAATCATCTTGTAGAGCTCTTTACTCCAAGAAGTCTTCATTTCTTTGGTGGTACGTATTGACGGTAGGAAGCTCCATAGTGACAGTTTGACAGGAATATTAGTGATAAGTAAACTAATGTAGTTTTCATTTATTGAAAAAGAAATTTTTTTTTGAGGAAGATTAGCCCTGAGCTAACACCCACCACCAATCCTCCTCTTTTTTGCTGAGGAAGATTGGCCCTGACCAAGTTTTGTTTTGTTTCTTTTATTTCCACAGAGTTTTAAGAACTGATGAAGTGAAAGGAGATTTTGAAAGGTATTTGGGACATTTGGGGACTGAAAAGTTAAACTTCAATCTGTTTTGTCCACCTGTTCCCTTTCCCTGGATTCCTATTGAATTCCTCTGATGTGTGTAGATTGAATGTGTGTGATGGGAGAGCTTGAGCTCCTGTGCTGGAAGGAAGACAACAACAACAACGGCAACAACAAAACCCTGCCGTGCTGGTTATTGTTCACCCTCAGGAGGCATGAGTTTCAAACCAGCTCTCCGTGTTGTCTAGATCCTTGTCAGTAATTTTTTGAGACCTGTAGTACGGGCAGGGGAAGCTCAGACAACTATTCCAACTCTTTTTGATGTTAAGGGATCAAACCAGAGAGAAGTGCTGGTAACTTGGGAAACCATATGTGTCATAACAAGAGGAGTAGGTGGCTTTTTTTATAATGTCACATGTTCCTGCTTGTATGCTTCTGCATGTGAAGGTGTCATTTTAGGAACGGAACTTTATCTTTTGATGCCAGTGGCAGAAATAACTAATTCCAGCATACACTGAAATTATAGAAATACATAGCAGATTTAACTTTCCCTAGAAACCTGTTGGTGCCTGGTATTAGATTATTTTTCAAGACCTTTTCTAGATGTCCAAATGTAGAAATGTGAAATTTTCAAGCTTCTGTTTTATCTACTTCTTTGAACAATTCTGTGTCCTCATTTCCATATGCTTTTAATGTTATTTGACCTCTCTAGATTTCGATGGGGATTTCCCCTTCAAATTCACTAATATTTTATCTAGAAGAAGGTCTTACAATTTCCCATGAGTGACTGATATGTCCTTTGGGGAGGGAACTCTCCCTCTGTTGTATACTTCCTCAGACACTTGCCAAAGACTTTCATTTTTGTCAGAAACTTCCTGCAGAACTCTCAAAAGTTTCAGTAAAAAACACTAACAATTGGAATAAACTGAAGGAAACCTAACCATTATTTTAATTGCAAGAGTCATATCTGGGAAATTGGTCCACAGAGAAGCAAGTGCATTCAGGACGTTACTGAGCAGCCAGGAATTCCTTACATGGGGCTTCTTGAATGAATAAAGTAGATGTGGAAAAATGAGGGCTCCTGTGACACTGATAACTCTTTCTCTGGGAAACTTGCTCAGCAAGGTGATTTGCAAGCTGCCGTGCCTTGTGGTGAAATCATGTTCAGCTCTCCTTTCAAAGCTGATCGCCTTCGGGTCAACTTGCAACTGGTTGTCAACCGCCTAAAACTCCTGGAAAAAAAGAAAAGTGAGTAAATACTCCAGGCAACATAGCAAGCTGCCTCTCAGATCACTGTGCAATTCGCCCACCACCCTGGGTGATATATCTCCTAAGACTTTACTTACTAACTTTGGAATTTAAAGGGATGTTTCTGAGTTGTAGGAATGTGGGAATGATTAGTATAGTGATCAAATCATTTAAAAGTTTCCAAAGGCTTAAAAGTCCATATTACTGGACTTCTCTCCACCAAGGCAGAGGATTTTATCTAGTCAAGCCTTTTCAAATGTGCTATAGCTATTAAGTTTGAGCTCTCAGGCAAATTTTTCTGGAAGAACCCTTCCAGAAAAGCCTTCCTCACCTTTTTTCCAACACACACACACAAAATGCTATTTCTTCTATCAGGTGACAGCTCAAGCAGTATTACACCCATGAGTAGGGGTAGTGACTGACACATGTTGTCTTCTTTCTTTAAGTTCAACTTATTTTCTGTTGCCTTTTGCTCTTTCCTCATTCCAGAGGGTCACATGAGCCATTAACCCCTCAATAAACTGCAAAACTGATGATCTCTGATTATGAGGAAGGTTCAGGTGAAACAAGTATTGCATGTAAATACAGTTTTCTGAGTGCTCTGTAAACAGCACTATTTACTATTGAATTGCCATAATCTATTGGTAGAGAAGCAGCTGTTACTCAAACTTCCAAAATGACTTTTGGGCATTCTTTAGCCAAATCTTGCAGAGGGAGTTTGGATATTACTCAGATAACAGAGGCCTAAGGAAAGCAGCCAAAACAAATGGAACGTAGGCGAACCTAGTGTTACCCATTATTTTACCATGAACAATGAGGATGGCAATGATGGTGCACACAGAACTTGTGAATTTTAAACTGCATGCTCATGTGCTATTTGATCCTGACAATCCAGTGATACATATTATTATCCAGATAAATTTTATCCTCTTCTTACAAAGGAGGACATTTAAATGTGGAATGCCTGAATGATTTGAGATAAATGAGGTGAATTAGCCCTGTCTTACCTAAATTTATTTCTTTTTAAAAAGACGTAATAATCCTGACCTTCTGTCACTTCAGGGTTCTATTTGTAACACAAATTCTAACCTGAGCACACAGTAAATATGTGCCTAGATTAATATTGGTGGAATAGCAGTTTAGCGTTTATCAGAAACAAGTCTAGTTCTACTGTGATTTCTTTTCCCTGTGATGTCCAGGGCAAAGAACATTTTCCTACTTTGGGCTTAACTAAGCACCCTTCCAAGAACTGAGTTTTGCGTTTATTTCAGATTCAAATGCAGTCTCATGTCAAGATTTGTTTACAATGACAGAGTAGCTCTGTCTATTCACCATTAGATGGTGGGCATCATTTTTAGGGTATAGTGGATAGACAGGGTATATAATTTGGAGGCTCAGGTTTTCCTGACTTTTGAAGAGCCTAATTCCCCAGGCTCGGTCATGAATTGGTAACACAAGATGGTAAGATTTTACGTATCATGGTGGTTTGGCCTGGGACAGGTTACGTTTGTTACTTCAACATGACTCTACTTGTTTATTTTATGACACACTGTGGTGAAAAAGCATAGGAGTTTGCAGGCTGAAGATTTGGGCTTGAGTTCCAATTCAACCTGTCACTCCTAGTCATGTGACCACAGACAAGCCATTTAACCTCTCAGAATCTCAATTTCCTCAGCTGTAAAATGCAAATAACGTACAAACTTCACGCAGGTGTTCAGGGATCAAATGGAACTTTATATATGAAAACATTTTTTAATGCAGAACACTTCGTGCATTCTCCTTTTTCAAATAACTAATATTTTTATTACAATTCACTATGGAACATTTTATTTATTTATTTAATTTATTTTTTTGAGGAAGATTAGCCCTGAGCTAACTACTACCAGTCCTCCTCTTTTTGCTGAGGAAGACTGGCCCTGAGCTAACATCCGTGCCCATCTTCCTCTACTTTATATGTGGGACGCCTACCACAGCATGGCTTTTGCCAAGCCTCGCCAAATCCGCACCCAGGATCCGAACTGGCGAACCCCAGGCCACTGAGAAGCGGAACTTGCGCACTTAACCAACTGCTGCACCACCAGGCCAGCCCCATATGGAATATTTTAGAACATAAAGTTTAGCTGACAGGATAAAATAAAGATCACCTGTCGAAGCACCGCCTAGAGCAGTGGTTCTCAACCTGTAACAGCTGTGAGAATCCAGAGGGCTTGTTGAAACAGATTGCTGGGCTCCACTTCCAGAGCTGCTGGTTCAGTATTTCTGGGGTGAGCCCCAAGAATCTGCATTTCTGTCCAGTTCCCACGTGATGCTGATGTTGCTGATCTAGGGATGGCACTTGAAGAACCACTGATCTCGTTCACTGGTAACTTTGTCTATGCATATATGGTATATCTTGTGGATATTTTTGGGTTTTTAAAAATAAAAACCTTGTTTCACACTATCATGTAACCCACCTTTTTATTCAACAAACTCCTCTTTGCACATTCATTTTTCTGTATGTGTGCTTCGTGCTGCAGCCGAGCAGGCCCAGAAAGCAAGGAAGGAGGTTGCTGACCATCTGGCTGCCGGCAAGGATGAACGAGCTGGGATCCGAGTGGAGCACATTATCCGAGAAGACTACCTCGTGGAGGCCATGGAGATCCTGGAGCTGTACTGTGACCTGCTGCTGGCTCGGTTTGGCTTGATCCAGGCCACAAAGTGAGATCTGTTGAACTTGCGTCATTTCTCAGGCTCAAAGGAGTGTCAGGGCATCCCTGTCACCTAGTGAGGAAGAGGGTGGGCTCTAACTCGTTGAGACTGTATCAAAGAAGTTTGTGTCTAATTTTTCTAGGGAGAACTAGCCCTGCTTGAAGAGAATATGTCACTCCAGAGAGCCATTTTTAGAGCTGAATAGTTGTCTTTCCCTCCCTGAGCTGTAAAGATACAGTATAAACTTGTAGTAGAAAAGTTGGGAAGTACAGATGCAAAAGAATCCATAATCACCAAATCTGGAAATAAGAATTTTGGTATATTCTTTTCAGTCTATATACGTATATCTGTATGTGTATAAACACACACATGTATGTGTGTATATCTATGTTCATATTTACATATATGTACATATAGGTCTATATTCTAATTTCATTTTTAAAAAATCATTTAAGATTATATTTTGAACATGTCCATGGGCTACCTTTGAAGTAGGGAAAACAGGGAGACATAAGCCCTGAATTTCATAATTTCATGCTTTCCTTAGGGAACTGGATTCTGGTCTGGCTGAAGCCATATCTACACTAATCTGGGCAGCTCCTCGCCTCCAGTCAGAGGTGCCTGAGTTGAAAATAGTAAGTTTGAAGAATTTTAACTGCCTGTACAATGAATGTAGGTGAGGATATAACTAGTGTTACTCATTCAGAATTGTAGGATTATTTGGGGAATCCTTTCTTCTCTTAAAGGTTAACCAAAAAGTATTTTGTTCTGTTAGTCTTTAAGTGAAAAATGAATACTTTTTTCATGGCAATGGTGGGAAAACAAAATTTACCTAAAAAAATAAAACTTGAAACTGGGTTTGTTTTGCGAGGGAGAGGGGTGCCATAATTTATAGTGCTTAGAATTAAAAGTTTTCAGTTTCACATTTATCAGATATTTAAAAACAGGGCAAAGCACTTGTTATTCTTGTTGTTTTGATGCTAAAAGAACACGATTCCAATGAGGTAAGATGAAAGTGATTTTTGCTCTTTTGGTGTTTCTTTATCTAAAGTAAATTTACCATAACTTCATGAATTTTGCCTTTATTTCTTTCTTGGTGATGGTTTGCTGCAGGTGTCTAACCAGCTGTGTGCAAAGTACAGCCAAGAATATGGTCAACTGTGTCGAACCAATGAGATTGGAACTGTCAGCTCTCGGGTAGTACCATTTCCAGAGACACACATTTTTCTAAACCTCAAGTCTGGGAAAAGCTGAACAAGCTCAGAACATGTAATTTTGTGCAGACTGAAAGATGTTTAGAAATAAGTTTTGCATTGGAATCAGAGCAACTTGGATGAAGATCTTGGACTAGAGAACTCAAATCTTTATCAAAAAGCTAGAGTCAAGAAAACTGAGCTGATTTCTTTAAAAAAATTTTTTTTTTTTGCAAAGGAAGAATCACCCTAAGCTAACATCTGTTGCCAATCTCCCTCTTTTTTTCTTCTTTGTCCCTCCAAAGCCCTGATACATAGTTGTGTATAGTTGTAAGTTCTTCTGGTTCTTCAGTGTGAGCTGCCACCACAGCGTGGCTACTGACAGATGAGTGGTGTGGTTCCATGCCCAGGATCTGAACCTGGGCTGTGGAAGTGGAACAAGCTGAACTTTATCTGCTAGGCCATCAGGGCTGACTCTGAGCTGATTTCTTTATTAAGGAAGTATACATTTTTCCTAAATGTAACTGGCCTAGTAATATGAAAGAAGTTAATGCAACTTTGAAGTTTCAACTTTTGAATATTTCACAGCATGACCACGCATACATAATTCAGGACAGACATTCAGCTGGGACACAGAGATCTGGCTGAAGTGTTTGTTTCAGGCTGGTGGACATTCTCATCATTCAGGGTATACATTCAGACTGGTTAGTGCCTTGCTGTACTGGTTTTTTAATATGTTGAATATCACCTCTGACATAATTCAAGTACTTGTCATAAAATCAGAATTCTTGATTCAAAATATTTTTTCTTATGTTTATTTTGTTCCTCTTATTCTACTTGGTTTGAGATCCCTTCACCCCAGGACAAGGCTATCTTATGATACAATCAGGGCCCTACCTTGTTGTTGCTAAATTATACATCTTTTTTTTTTCTCTTTGCTGAGCAAGATTCGCCCAAAGCTAACACCCATTGCCAATCTTCCTCTTTTTTTGCTTGAGGAAGACTAGCCCTGTGCCAATCTTCCTCTATTTTTTTGTATATGGGACAATGCCACAGTGTGGCTAATGAGTGGAGTAGGTCCACATCTGAGATCCAAACCCACAGACCCGGGCTGCCCAAACAGAGTGTGCAGAACTTTAACCAATCAGCCATGGGTCCAGGCCCATTATACATCTTTTTAAAATCATACATCTGACATTACAGAGACTAGAAAGATGAAGAACAATGATTCAAAGGTGAAAGACTACCTAAACCCTTTTTTGTTTCTTATCTTGTAGGTATGTGTGTGACCAAATTCATTATGTTCTTTATTTTGCAGCTAATGTGTAAATTAAGTGTGAACACTCTACCCCAGGTTCTAGTGGAACAGTACCTGATAGAAATTGCTAAGAACTATAATGTGCCATATAAATCCAAGGCAACCAATATGGTGAGTACTTTCAAGAAGGGAGGATTGACTTAAAGCTGAGATTCTTATTGTGCACCAGAAGATTTTTTCTACTTAGGAATGTGGCTTCCAGAGTAGCTTTTCTACTTAGGAATGTGGCAGGATTGTAAAGCAGGTGACATTTGCACCTTTTCTCTGCCCACATACTTTTCCTAACAGAACTTGACTTCTGCTAACTATCAGATGACCCTTCTAAGTTGTTAACAACAGAGTAGAAAACAAAGATAAAGGCACCTAAAGTGTTATACTCAGAAGTGTATAAAACATTTTTAGTTCTTAAGATCTCAGCTTTGCCACAGGGATATTTTGCATTTTAATAAAGAGCTCTGGAATAGAGGCTACAAAATCCGAAGGCACAAGGCACTGTCATTTAATCTTGGTTAAGAGTATGCGTTCAGTAGTGAAATAACCCATATTCAGAACCTCGCTCCACCATTTATTAACCATGAGACCTCAGGCAAGTGACTTACCCTCTCAAAGACTCAGTTCTCTGAACTTTAAGAAGGGGATAACAATAGTTATTAACAAATATCGTAAGTTTTTAAGATGATTAAATGAGCTAATACATACAAGGAAATTAAATGCAATGCTTGGCATGAAGCAAATATAATCAAATTTGGCTTTTTATCATCATCATCATTGTCACGGAGAGTGGATTAATCTTCCAAAAGGTGGTCATGGACTATTTTAGGATGACAGATTTCTCCCTAATGCCTTCCAGTTGCTGGGGCAGCATGTGCCATGTTGGATTGTGGTTAAGGGGCACACTTGTCTTTTCTGATGCTTTGCTCCTGAGGGTTTCCTGATAGGGACTATTTCACTCTTTTTTTCTCTTCCAAAGAGTTACATGGTTTGTTGAAAAATGCCACATTGGAAAAATTTAGACAATATAGAAAGGCACTGTGAAGAAGCAAAAGCCACAGGAAATGCCACCAGTGATGTGCCAAGGACTCAGGCTCTGGACCTCTTTTCTTTCTTCCCTACTCTCTAGGTGATTTCATCCAATATCATGGTTTTCAATTCCATGTTTATGGTGAGGACTTCCACATGTATCTCACTTGCTAAGGCCTCTCGGCTGATATGAGCTCCAGGCTGACAGATCCACTCACCTTCTTGACACGTTTACTACCCTGATCTAACCTCAATCATCTTTTGCCTGGATGATCCTTTTACTGTTTTTCCTGCTTCTACTCCTCTTCTCCGTTAGCTGAAGTTCAATATAGCAGTCAGAGATCCTGTTAGGACCTAAGTCAGATCACATCACTCTTCTTCTTTTAAAGCCCTCCAATGGCTTTTTATTTCACTTAGAATAATAGGCAAAGTCTTTCCTATAACCAACGAGGCTGCCTACACCCACTCTCCCCTCTTCTCTCTGGCCTCATTCCCTCCACTCTCCCCCTTGTTTACTTTGTTGCAGCCACACTGGCCTCCTCGTGCTTCTTCAAACACATATGCTGGTTCTCACCTCAGGACCTTTGTACTTCCGGACACTTTGTTCTCTAGCTATCTGCCTGGTCCCTCCCCCACTTCCTTCAGGTCTGTACTCAAAATGTTTGTTCCCTTCTCTGTGAGGCCCTTCTGGCTACCTTCTCTAAAATGTCAACCTCTTCCCTCTTCTCTGCTTTATATTTTTTCTCTCTCTCTCCTATCTGTATCTAACACACTGTACAGTTCACTTAGTGATCTTGTTTATTATCTGTCTCTCCCACTGGAATATTAGTTCCATGAGGACAGGGAGTTTTGTCTGTTTTGTTCACTGTAGCATCCCTAGTACTGTGCCTGGTTTACATTAAGTGGTCAATAGATTTTGTCAAGTGAATGAATAAATCCAGAGTTTACCACTGCTGAAGTTTGATGAACTTTCCTGTAGACATATCTATGCATATTTACATCTAGCTCTTATTTATTGGTGTACCAGTGTCTGACCTCATAGGTTCTTACAACATAGTCATTGAAAGAGGGAAAAAGATGAAGCACATGGGCCAGAAAACCTGAAGGTGGCCGTACCTGTCATTGACTTAGGCTAGACTCTAAGCTTCACGAGAGCAGGAACCATGTCTCTTTGCTCACCGTTTCTTTCCCTGTGCTTCCAAGAGTGCGTGGCATGTAGTAGGTATGTAATAAACAAATGTGTAATAAATTGAGAACCCAATGTGATTCTTTCCTTCTTACTTCAGGTTGAAAGCCCAGCAGACCTGATCAGTATTGGATTTACCAAGGATGTCAAGAAAGGTGCCCTTGGCAGAGGAGGTGGGACTGTAGCAGGAACTGGTCCTACACTTTGGGCATCGCCAATATCTGTACCAGGGCCCTTACCTGTGCCATCCCCAGCCCCTAGTTTCTCTTCCCTTCCTCCTGAAAGACAGGTCAGTACGGATAGGGAAACTGAATCTGGAATGGGACTACAAATAGTGCTAGAATGTATTTCTAAATGGGCCTTTTGAATGGTAAAATGATCTTTGTGAAGTTTTTTAAGGTTGAGGGGCATATTTGTAATCATTTAGCTGATATTTGATGTGTTTTTATGCTGAACTCATGAGAAAATAGGGCTACAGTCTTTCATCAACCTCCTGACAGTACCATAATATAGATTGCAAAGAACATGTTTATGAGCTGGACAAATTTTAAAGTCTTTAATGTACAGTGGTTTAGACTCATGTTTCAGATTAGATATATTTAATTTATTTGTAGAAAAAACAATTTATTTTTGAAAACAGTATAAAAATCTCATAACTTTGTACACGCAAATTTGGAGAAGTCAAATAAGTGAAAACTAGAGAGCCATAGGCATTAATTTTCTTTACTCCTTGTTCCTTCAGTATGAGGTAAGGAGAAATTGTTCTTTTCTTCTCACTTTGCTAGGTATTTCTGATGCCATGAAGCTCTTTTTTAAGATTTTATATTTCAGACATAGTTTAACTCTGATTTTCCTGGTTGAAATTATCTGTCTGAACCACACCTTGTGTATTGCTCAGCTTCTACTCTTGGAATGCAAGTCCTCTGATTTAAAAATAAAGCAAAGCAAACTTTTTTATGGAAAATTTAAACATATACCAAATTAGAGAGAATAATATAATGAACTTCCATCACTCATTTTCAACAGTTATCAACATACTGCTGCTCTTATTTCATCTATGTCTCTCTTCCTAACACTTTTTTTGGGGGAGGGAGAGAAGGAATTTACAGCAAATCTCAAACATTATATATATAATTTCTCCTGTAAATACTTCAGTGTATAACTCTAACACATACTCTTTGTTTTTATAATATAAAACAGTCATTATGATGCCCAAAACAATGAAAAATAATTCCTTAATATCATATAATACTCAATCCATATTAAATTTCCCTGTCTCAAAAATGAGACATCTCTGCATCTATCCTGATATAGTTATTTTGTTGAAATCAAGATCCAAAAAAATTCACATATTATGTTCGCTTGTTATGTCTCAAATCTTTTAATCTCTAGCACTTCCTTATTCCTGCCTCTCCTTCTTTTCTTGCCAATTATTTGTTGGAGAAAGGGTCCTCTGATTTTATTAAACTGAATCATCTTCCACAACTAGCATCTCCAGACTCAAAGATAAAAGATTTCCTGATTCTTGTATGAGGCTATAGGTGACAGAGGAAGCAAAACCCGTAGTCACTCTAAGGCTCATTTCTAGAAGGCATAAAAAAACTTTAACCTTAAACACGAAGGAAGCTTGACTGTGATAAAATTAATTTTAAGAAATATTTATGGAAAGTTTACTGTGAACAAAATGTGTGTTTAGAATTCAAACCCATTACTTCCCAGTGGTCTTTTTTCTTTCAGAATGCCTCCTATAAGAAGAATGATTTGCTTTCTTCCCTGGTTCCTAGTAAGTATAGGGAATGCTGGTAGAAGTTAGAATTGCTTGAAATTTATTGAAGATATTTCAGTTATAAGACTATTCCCCCATTGGTGAGAGAAGTTTATTAGTGATTTACCAGGGGTACAGTGTGTTCCTTTGTAGTAGCTAACAGTTTTCAAGGTGGATGTGGATCTCAGAGATGTTTAACACAAAAAAATGTTTTTAAACCACTACCACTCTAGATCATCCTGGCACATGTTATGAAAAATTGTGCCTTTTTAAAAAGTCCAAATTGCCCTTGAATAAGACTGTGAACAAAATGTAACCACTACCACCATTTGCATGATGGAGGAATTGTCCAGTTTTCCAGCCATATTATGTGCTGTACTCTCAAAATCAATAATAGCTACTGTCTTTGAGGCTGGGAATTCTTTCTGGAGGACTTTATTGTTGTGACTTGTAATTACATTATTGAAATGAACAGGTCCAGGACTCAACCCCCAAACTTCTCTAAAGCCAGAATCAAGAGCCAAGATTGGTTTTGATAACTTTATACTGCCTGAAGTGCCTGATGTAAAACCTCAAGCAAGCCTATCCATTGACCCTTATGATTCTGAAGAAGTTGACTTTGAAGATCTTGACCGGAGACTTGAAATACTGAAGAAAACCACGTAATTCTTAGTCCTGGATTGAGTATTTGCCTGGGAATCAGAGCTCCTGGGCACAAATTTTAACATGGCCACCCATGTGTGGGTCTGAAGTTTTCTCGTTTACAGTTCCTTCCATTTCTTAAATTCTATGGTTCACTTTCTGTAATAAATGTGTGTGTATGTCTGTGCATACACATATAACTATTCCTGTCCCTTAAAATTGTATAATTCTTAGATGAAGAGTCCTGATCTATAGACTTTTATTAATTGTAGTAAAAAAACTTTTGTTTTCTCCTGGATCCTTATTTCTCTCATAATTATCTCTTTTTCTAGGGAGACAGAATGGAGTGTATTTAAATCTGCCTCTCATGCTTACTAGCTATAAGATTTTTGGTAAATGGTATCTCTTGTCAGACATGCGTGAAAGAGCCTAGAAACTAGAGGCCTAAGTGTCTTTTTTTTTTTTTTAAAGATTTTATTTTATTTTATTTTATTTTTCTCCCCAAAGCCTCCCAGTACATAGTTGTATATTCTTTGTTGTTGTAGCCACCCCTGACACAGGAAGGGTTAATAATCACTGGAAAAATCTTGCCAACAAACTGTGACCCGGAGGTGAGAAGGCCGGTTAGCCAATGACGGGTAAGACCTCCAGGGGGAGGCAACCTAAGACAGGCATCGGCCGCCCGGGGGCACAGATGGAGACACGATATCGGGAGCAGGAGGGGCCATTGCCTAGGAGGCCTTGCATGCTCCAAGAGAAAGTATACGAGCACAGCAATAACATGATAATATCAAAACAGAGGCCAAGGGAGGGCTCCTTGAGAAATCACTAAGAATTCTTGGCATTCGCTAATTACTTCATCCAGAACATTTGTGTATGTTTAACAGATGTAAGCTATGTATATATTGAAATGCTGGTTATAATAAACTCAGAGTGGCCATCAGCCCTCTCCGCATCTATCCTGATGTGTACATTGGATTGCGACACCGACAGTTGTGGGTCCTTCTAGTTGTGGCATGTGGGACGCTGCCTCAGCGTGGTTTGATGAGCAGTGCCATGTCCGCGCCCAGGATTTGAACCAATGAAACACTGGGCCGTCTGCAGTGGAGTGCGTGAACTTAACCACTTGGCCACAGGGCCAGCCCCTAAGTGTCTTTTTTAAAAATAAATATTTGAAAGAATGTGCAAACACTGAGAGTGAATGAGAGAAGTGTTTTCAGGAAATCAGTGGAATCCTGTATAGCAGGGTTCAAATTTAGACTCTGCAATTTATTAGCTGTGGACCTCCTTTTGCTCACCCATAAAATGGGCACAATCATGAAGATTAAAAGAAATAATGTATGTAAAGCTCTTTATCACTTAGTAGGTGCTCAATAAATAACATTTCCTTTTCAGTTTCTATTATTTGCTAAGTTCTAGTGGACTAAATATTAGTGATTCTATGAGACTTGATGAAAGAGAGGGTGAGAAAACAAGATGGCCAAATTAATTATTTTGTTTGTTTGTTTCTTGTGTAACTGGTATTTTTTGTTTGTTTTTCTTTGTAATAGATTTTATTTTTTAGAGCAGTTTTAGATTCGTAGTAAAATGCCAAATTAATTTTTGAATGAAATGATTGGTTATGCAAAATCTTTATTTCAGGGGCCAGCCTGGTGGCACAGCGGTTAAGTGCACACGTTCCGCGTCTCTGCGGCCTGGGGTTCCCCGGTTCAGATCCCGGGTGCAGACATGGCACTGCTTGGCACGCCGTGCTGTGGCAGACATCCCACATATAAAGTAGAGGAAGATGGGCACGGATGTTAGCTCAGGGCCAGGCTTCCTCAGCAAAAAGAGGGGGACTGGCAGTAGTTAGCTCAGGGCTAATCTTCCTCAAAAAAAAAAAAGAAATCTTTATTTCAGAATCCTATTTCATGTGTCCAGGAAAGTTTACATTGCCCCTTTTTCAGGTAAGAGAGTGATGCCTATAAACCAATTTCTTTCTTTAAAAAAAACAGTTTGAAATGTTTCATTCTAGGATGTTCCCCTCCTCATAAAAAAACAAGTTTTTTCCAAGAATATAACGTTAGAGGGAGGATTTTCCAAATCCAAGGCTAGGGGCCCACTTGCACAGCAAGCTGGCTGCCTCTCCTGGGGAGTAAGGCGCCTCAGCCTGGCACCTGTTCCAGTCCTAGATCATCCTCTGGCATGTGTGAGTGGCTTGATGCAGAAGGAGTTTGGTGTTTCCTGAACTGGGTACCAGGACTGGCTGCCCCAGTTACTGTGGATGTCCCAACACGCCATGGACTTTCCAGGCTAATTTTAAAGCAACTTGTAAGACTGACTGATTTTAGAGGAACAAGGATAGGGCTACGCACCCAAAGGAAAACAAAACCAATTTACCATGGATCCGTCTAGGCAAATGATGGTGCCATATTAAGGAAATAAATTACTTGAGTAGGAATAATGAGTCAGAAGCCCTGCTATGTTTCTGGATGGTACCTCCTTCTCCAGTGGCCTCAGTTTTGTCTTCCTTAAGTGGGAGAATGGCACCATTTCCTCAAGATGGGGTTTCAGTTGGCTGCAGTCTCATATCTGATGAGATGTTTAACTCCAAAAGTGCCAACATAATACAGAATCATTTACAAGCCAGTACAACTACTCTACAAAAAATAAAATATGCGACATAAAACATCTCAGGTGGCCCTTTGGGCTGCCTCTTTTAAAAAAATCACTAAAGTAAAGAGGAAGCTTAGCTGAGCCTCATATCCTTTGGGCTTTGGCTTCACTTTGAAGGAACATAGTAGATTTTCTAATGCTCTTGGTAGGAGGTCAAAGTGTATGGAATTAACTGTTGGAATTTTAGTTTTTACATCGTTTCTGACTGTTGTCATAATTGAAGGATTAATTCCTAAACCCTTTTCTTAGGCCAGGATAAATTGTGATTAGGGACTATGCTTAAAAGAATTGTAAAAATAACTTTTTTTGAAAACATTACATAAACAACGGAAGGACTAATTTCTCTCTGACTTTCAGGCTTATTTATAGATTCTGGTGACTCAAATGATAACAAAACAGGCCAGTGGAGCTGCCTCTTTGGCTCACGTCACTGTATTTCCTACAGGGTTACATCCCTTCTTCACTCTCCTTTCTCGGCTGAGGTCTCTGGCACGTGGAGATGCAGGAAGAGTTCCTTGTGAAGGACGATGACTGCGTTTCTGCAGAGAGAGCTTTCCCCATCAGCTGTAAGGTTATATGGCTTCAGCTGTTGACACTGAGTCATTTAGAACACCACTGCAGCTAAGACCAAGAGAGAGGGTCCCCTTCTAGTCCCACAGATTCCAACTGATATGGCATGTCTTCCAAAAGCCCTTTCACTGCTCTGGAAACCTCTCATTTTTCTTTTTCTTTTTTTTTTTGGAACTGGGACGTACCTGCTGAGTAATAATATCAGTGATATTTTTATGTGTTTGAGGATTTTTTAAAAAAGCTATTTTTCCTCAATGAGATTATAATAACCTGGAGGGTAGGAACAGTCTCTTTTGAAATGTCTATTATAGATTCTGTGCAACCAGGGCAGTGTGGTGTAGTGGAAGGACTCAGGCAGCTCGTTCATTGAATGATTACTATATGGGCTAAAAGATATATCCAAACATGGAAGGTCTAGATTTGAGTCTGGTCTCTGCTGTATGAAGGTGTGACAAATCCTATATTATCTCTGATCTTCTGTTTCCTCATCTCTAAAGTGGAGATGACAATATTTTCCCTAAAGAGAGCTAATATTTATTGAGCCCTTACCGTGTGCCAGACGCTATTCTAAGTACTTTAAGTCTATCAGCTCATTTGTTTATCACACCAGCTTTAAGATGCCAATGCTACTATTACCTCCATTTTACAGACAGGTACACTGAAACTCAGAAATGCTCAGGGATGTTAAGTAACTTGTTGCAGGTCACAAATAAAGAAAGGAAGAGCAGAGTTTTAAAGCCAGGCAGCCTAGGACCAGAAACCAACACTTCTAGCTACTATGCTATAATGCCTACATGGTTTGTAAGCTCAGGGTGGGTGAGGAGCAAATGAACCAATGTATATGAAAACACTTTTGTAGATTGTAAGACACAATGCACTACTGTTACTTGTAGTGGGCAATCAATAAATGCTTTAGTTGAATTGTGAGGTGGCATAAAATGTTTTTATACTTATATTTTCATGATGCTTGATACTTTTCCAAGTGCTTTCACCCATTTCATCCCTCTTGGTAACAAGCCACTTTGAATCCATTTTGGAACAAGACTAGTCATAAATAAATATTGGACAGTTGAGGAAACAGGCCCAGAGATGTTAAAACATAGTGCTCAGGGCACAAAATTAGTTAAACACAGCCAGGACTGGCATCTGAGTGGTCTAATTCCTAGCTCATACCTCTTCCGTTTTGTTCTTTGTTGTTGTTATTATTTGTTAAATTGAAGCATACAAGTTATCCATAATAAACAAAACCATAGAAATAATGATCTTTTCTGCTAGCCATTATCTCTTCCTAGACGTTTAATCCTTTGCGGCTGTTGCTGTTTTAAAAAGAAAAATCTCCTTCAGCATTTGGACACATAAAACTGCATTATCTGATAAGGACTTTTTTGTTTCCAAAATGTAAGTCTTTTTTTTTTTTTCCAAATAAAAGTATGGCATGTCCATTGCAAAAACAAAACATAGTAAAGAAAGTAAAAATCCTCTATAATCTCACCACCGAAAGATAACCATTTTTACATTTTAGTTTTAGGCTCTTCAACTTTTTTCTATGTGTATATATATACATTTTTATAAGCTTATTTTATAATACCGTTTTGTAATGTTTTTCAAAATCTGCTATACCATAATAAAGATAGAGTGATAGTTTCATTTTTATTGGCAGCATAGTATTCCATTTTATTGATATGTTTTAATTTATCTGAAATTAGGGATTACATTTGAGTAGATGAGGAGTAAGTCTTCCCAAACTTTAATCTCTAGCCACCGAAGCCAAAGATCCCAGGATAATGATGACCATACTATATATGGGGTCAATTGCTTTTAATTTTCAGCTTCATTAGAGGAGGGGGTTGGTGATTATAAAGATAAATAGAAGTAAAAAAAATACATGGAGGGGGTATACATTTTATAATGTCTGTCATTTCTCTTTAATGCTCTGCCATTTGGCATGGTAGGAAAAAAGCTCCTTCCTCTTTCTTAAGAAGATGGTTTAACTTTTGTGGTTCACAATGGTAAACATTTAAATTTGACCTTTAAGCAAATTTTTTCGACTTGCAAACGGAATATTTTAGCTAA